GAAAAGTGCCCCCGCGTTAGGAAGTCCACCTGCGACGCCATTGGCTGCTCGTTAATTCGCTTTCTCACTCACAGATAGAATCGATAGCTCTCGTTTCTATTATATCGGGCCGGGGGAAATATTGGACCCGAATGGAAATGTCTGAATCACCTCGGACTTTTAATCTTTCTACCCTTATTTGGATACTCTCTAATGTTGGTCGTGATGTTTCGTCCCTTTTTTGTTTAACAACGACAATTACTAAGAGCTTTCATTGGAGAAAGTTTATAAAATCATGGATTTGTCGGTTTACAGAATTTAGATCCTTCTTTGTTTTCTATCGTGATTTTGATGAAATTCTTTTTCTTTCTTAATGAAAATTAAATTGTAATTATTTAGTTTTTCAAACCTAAGTAATTCTTGCAGCGACTTAAATCAGACATTTCTAAACCTAGATGAATTGTCCGTTATTTTAGAATTTTTTTTTAGTCTCCTTTCAGTGGTTTTAATTTTGCCTGGATATATAACAAGTAATTGCGAGATGATCGCGAAAGTTTCCTCGACGTTTTCAAATTGACTCGCCGAACTTTTTAGTCGGATTCTGAGGCTTTTCGGCTGAGAGCAATTACGATTGCCTGTATCCTGTGATACCTTGCCTCGACTGAAAAAGGGAGGAAGGAAAAGAAATGGAAGGAAATTAATCTTAGTTCTCTCAGTTTACAGATAGAGTAATGAAACCACCCTTGAGAATTCGTCTCTCGGTTTATGATTACGAGGGTCGTTAATAATCTGTGGCATGTGAGCAAATAATTTCTTTGACAAAGAATAATACATTTAGCGTGCGTTCTTTGGATAATTGTATTAATTAGCCGCTATATAGAAGCTATTAAAAGAACACTCGCAATTCCCTTTAATGGAGGTTTGTATTATTGAAACGCTCTTGAAGAATTACGTCTTGGGGTCCGAAGTATAAAAGGATTATTAATTACCCTTCTGCAAATACTTCCTTTGACAAAAATGTACTGTTTACAAGAAGGAATCATTTGAAGGCGTTCTATTTATCCAATTATATTTCGGCAACAGTTGATACCGAGGCTTGGACAATTGTCCATATAAGGGGATAACTTTTGTACCGGTCTCCATTTATGTTTATTTATAACAATGCCGTGGCAAATATTAATGATATTAGATTGAAAATAATTGTTACTGGATTTGAACGAAATCAGCCACGGTCTGACTAATAATGGATACTTCCACTTTCGTAAGAAATTTACTAAAGTAGAAATGGCGCTTTTTCTGCACACCCAAGTACGTGGGGAAGAAAATCGGCGAAACGTCCCGAATTAGCCGGGAATAATAGCTGACGTTTGCTAAATGGGCACCCCGCGTAATTTCCACGAGGCAACGCATTTTTTTCATCTAGAAAACCATATCTCTGGATTTATGTGTGTACGTAAAAACGCAGAAATCCGCGAGTATGAATATAAATTAAGAACGATGCGAAACTCCCCTGCGCGCAGCTGGACGTCAAATAAATCTAGGAAGAAGATGACGTTTCTCCGCTTGCGAACATATTATTTTTTCCATCCCCTCTCGACGTTGCTTCCCATGCAGAAACATAAACTTACATCCCCGTACATTTAACCTAGAACGTAGGAAAACAATATTTGCCCACCGTACATAAGCCACCTTTTCCGTACACTGTTTCGTTTCCCTCCCCCTTCATCTCCATACATTTCACCCTTATAAACTATTCATCCCCGGTTTTCACGTAAAGGACGAACTTTAAAAATGGAGAACACCTTTCAGGGACTTTTTGCGGATAATCTTCGTCCCGAAACCTATTTTTCCCCTCATTGTTATCGTCCTTTTCTCTCGGGGGTTTCCTCTTGTCCCGGATTTTCCAGGGCGCGATCAAATGGACCAAATATGGCGGCAATTCCGGGGCGAGGGGACGGGGGTCCTTCGACTCTTCCTTCGGGACTCTCGCGCGGAAATATGGCGAGAGCACGGCTTTCCCTCCACCCTGTCTAACAGTCTCGAGATGTGGGAGAAAGACGCACGAGGCACGACCCTCTCTTTCCTACTCGTGGGGCTTTGGACACCTACTGTACTCGCGCGGTTCTATGTGTCCCTAACATCTATGTACGTACTACTTGGCACGTTTCTATGTATGACGTACCGTAGTACGTCGGCCTCGTCCCTCGACGGAGAGAGCAAGAACCGTCCAGAAAACGTTTACCGTCGACGGTGCGTTACTCCCGACGTATTTACGAATCCGGCATCCCGGGTGCCAACGACTCTGCCAATTCAGAAAAATTGCTCGATTCAGGGATCGGTGCATTCAACCAACTGCACCGATTTCGGAAAGAAAAAAAAAAGAGTTACGAAAGGCAGAATTATTGGAAACAGGATCGATGAGATTGATAGACTAATTGTTTTTATCTGAATATTGTTTCTCGAGTTTTCATGGTTTCTTAAATGAAATATTAACTAAAAAACTTCTCATTTCTTTTTTTACAAGAAAGGGGTTTTATGTACGTCCAACAAACCACACAGATTATGGAAGGATAGGTTAAGTAAGGCGATATCATTGGAAACATGAATGATGGGATTAACGAGAAATGAGTGAAAAAGTCTATCGGGGAACTTTTCCGTCCAGAACTTCTTTCTAAGTGGAGGTGAAATTAATGAAGTTTTATGTATGATTTTTTGATACGATTTGAGAAGGAATATTAACTGCTTATCGTCACTACGATTAGTTGTGTTCTGTTGTAATGTGGATTTTACTTTTGTTGTGTAAAATTCTTAATTTCTGTCAGTAGAAAAATTTATAAAGCCGGGGAGTGGATTGGAGGTTAGGTGTGGTCATCCTCGAATTGGGTTGATTATAGTGATGAAAGTGTCCGCCAGATCGAGCAGAATTCGCCTAACCCTTTAACATTTTAGCACCTTTTAGCATCACTTACACCTCGGGCATGAAAGGATCATAAAATTAGCGAGATGCATAAATTACCGGATTAATTTCACTTAGCGCAGGGGGGAAATCGCAACGACTCTTTTAACCTATTTCCCCGAAATTTATGAATTTAATAGTGCACCATATGGGGGGGGGGGGGGGATTTAAAGGCGGCGTCGCGCAAGGGCACGAGTTCCGTCTTTCGTCTTTTCGTTTTGTAGCTGGATGCCGTAAACTGTAATTACTCGGCACTTATTAATCCCCAAATCCGCAATAAAGTTCCCAAAATTGCGCTATCTCACTCGTTCTCGTTATTTACCATACCCGAGCACGAGTTTAATAAATACAAATCGTAACACTGCATTCTACGCTTTAAAAGAAAAAGAAAAAAGGAGTTCATTCGTTTTAATACCTTCAGGGACATTCGTCCAAATAAAAGGGGACGAACGAAATAGACGTTAAACTAGAGATGGTTCGGAATTTCGAGCTTCGACGATATTTAGCTGTGTTCGTGCTTGCGCTTCCGGCTAAAGCTGAGAGAAAGGCCGAAAGCCCCAGGCGAGCCTTCTATATACATAGGAGAGGAAGCCATGCTCACGAAGAAAAACCGGAGTTATTTTTGCGAGAACTCTTTAATATTCCCGCGTAAATAAACGAGAGTGGGTACCGTGATATTAGGTCAGAGGTCGCTTTTCCTCGGGAAAATGTCGCGTGGCTCTTCGTCGGTCGCGGCTGTTAATTGAGAGGTACGGACGAGCGAATTTTTGGTATCCAAGGTAGCCGACGTTCCTCGGCTCGTGGACGTGAAATTAAAGGTGTTTTATATGAAATTTGTCGCGCGAGACGAGATACCGTGTCAGGTTTTTCCCGTTCGCATGGATGCTTCTTTATCTTGATATGCCGCGATAATTGTCCCCATTTACTGCTACCTTACCTTAGCCCGCAAATTAGGTCGGTAATTATTTCGCGGCCGCCGGCTTATGAGAATACCCGTGCGTCGGCATTATACAGTGCGAGTATTGGAGTTATTGACGGATCAATTTATCTGCCGGATTAATCCGTAGTGCTGGAGGCCAAAAGGGAATATACGCGTTTGTCACATTTGCTCGGTGAACCTCGGGGACTTCAGCTTGAGGGTGATATACAGTAATTTCCAGTGATATTTTTCAATTGATAAGGATTTGTTGATCTTTCAAAACATTTTTAATATAATGGTGCAAATACTTAATGGAATGGTGACCTGGGTCTTCAATTTCAGGGTGATAAGGCAGTTTAAGTAACGTTTTCAAAATCATGAGTTTTTTCGCGTTTTACTATATTTTGAAGATAATAGTGAAAATATTTCAATTGTACAACGTAGCATCCCCGTGCGAGGTGAAGTCAAATTGACCGAATTGAGGATTCTTTGAAACACGTAGATCTGAAGTAAACGACGAGAATTGTACGTAGATTTTGAAAAAGAAAAAGTAAAATTTTCGCAGTTTGCTACCCTATTTATAGATAGTTGTGTCGAGGTGGTCTGCTTTGCGTTTCGTTACATTCCGGAGATAGCTTGGTCCCAGAATAAATTTCCCAGCTGGAACCTAGAGGACTTGAAAACTTTTTCTTTATAGATCCGAGATTCCTGGAAATTTTGAAAGTTACGAAGATTGCGCAGAAGTGTACCATGAAGCGCGATTAATTAAATTATTTCCGTGATCTATTTATGACTGCCCTTTCGAATGGCCGACTACTCGTTTCGTTACATTCGTAGTCTCTTTTGCCGAAGTTTTATTTTCTCACCCAAGTCAAAATGGTTTTTCTTTTTTTCTCTTCAGATCAATGAATTCAAAATGTCTATGAAATTGATAAAAATACAAAATCCGGGGCGATCCGTCTGCGGGCGGTCGGCAAGGAATAAATTTCTACGCTTAAATCTTCGGGATTTGTGTGAGAAACTTATTTCGAAATGTTTGATAACGCTCGGGAAGTTGAAAGGTCACGGGGATTGCATATCGGGAACGAAGTTTCGATTTGCAGAATTATTTCAGCGATGATCCATTTACGGACACCCGTTTAGGAGTGCAGTTCGTGATTTCTTGCGCCCGCTCGATTATTCCTCCTTTGGATTAATTCACTTGAACAGACTCTTCATTAATTATCCGTCCGACTTCGTGAATATCAAGGTAGGCATGTACTGCTTTATTTAATTTCTCGTTGAAAGGCGGATTGACGGAAAGCTCGGCCCCTTGTACATTAACTTTTTTCTCCAGTCCCACACGAACGAGTCATATATTTAAGATCACGCATATTGAACATACCTCGCGATCTCGTCATGAAATGCCTTAACCTCTATTATAGAAACGCAAAATTGGAAACGTGAACTTTTCCCATCGCGATCCTCACGTAGTCCTTGTATATCTACACTTCGTCCTCTGTCCTTACCATTGTCCTACTATAACTTGTATTTCACACCCTCGGCTTAATTATTCCATTTTCCATTTACGAAGAACCCTTCATTGCGTAAAATGTGAAAAGTGAGTGAAATGTGCAAGGTTTCTTTACAACTACTATAATGGAGGTTTTGCTACATTATTCGAGACATTAAGGTAAAGTGAAACCTGATTTCAATCAGTCCACTTGAATCGGACACTTTTTCTTGGAGGGTATTACATAGGAACGCTTGAAACTTGATTACACGAATTGTGAGTACCCACAGAACTGATACTATCGAAATTCAGTTTAACAATTTTTGTTTTATTCAACCTAGACCAGGGATTACACAATTATTGAATACTCTGACGTGAGAAAGAAAAACATCATACTGTCGCAATACACTTTTAGAACACCGTATGTAATCGAGAAACGCGCATTTGAACGTAATAAAGGCAAATGACGTGTCTTGGCAACTTCTGCGCTAAGATTAAGGTAACGCGTGTAGTGTTCGAGCTTCTGAATGTATTGTTTAGTTGTCACTAACTGTCATATATGATCCTGCAGTCGATTAGTGTAACAAAATAACAGATAAAATTCTCAATGTAGTACGATCCAGCTGTCGAAATAAATATAAAGGTCGATATGGCGGACGCGCTAATACAGATGGTACATAAGTTACAGGAATTTCTTTTTACCAAAAACGATTAAACATAACGATGGATTGAATTTGATCTTAACCAAGTCAATTCGTCCGATCGTCGAGATGCCTAAGGATCTCGGAATCAAACGGCTCAACAGGAGCCCAACCCTTGTCAAGTCCTGGGATCGATAATTCGGGACGCGGAACACTCGAGTAACGAGTAATAAGCCGAATATTGGCGGAAATAGTGCGGTCGTCCCTACTAATTAAGTCGCGCTCGCGAAGTGAAGACTTAAGGGTGGCACGAGCGCGCAAAGCGGTAAGCGAGTCAAGCGCCGTCTGGGGAAAACGGGGAAAAGCGAAGGGGTTGAAGGGGTAACCGAGAGGGAGGGAGGAAAGAGAAAGGGTGCACTGGCTGCTAAAGGGGAGGCTGCGAGAAAGGGCCGGGGCCTCCCTTGAATAGTGGCTGCGATAAATACGGAACCGGCTCTTCAATAGCTTTCGTCGGGAAGCGTCTACGGTGCACTTACGTCCCTGCGCCCCTCGAGGAGGGAGTTTTATTTTTTTTCTTTCCCCTTTGGAGTGGAGGAACGCGAAAACGGGGTAAAATCTTCGAGAAATCACCGAGGGCCTGTTCTACGCTCATGGGGATTTTTTCAATTACTGCCTGACAGGAGGATTTTTTTTTTTTCTGAATCGTTTAGAGAAGCACAAGATGGGGGGTGGCAATGAAACGGGCGGGTGGCTGAAACGGCACCAAGGTTGTTCTAAATGTGACGTGATTTTTCTTCTTGCAACACGAATGTCCTTTTGATAATTATTTATAGGAAGGAACGCTAATTCGCGTTGTAGCGGAAATGCGTGGAAATTAGGGGCCACGATGTTGGCGGAGGGTTACTCCGGAGCATTTCTATGAGATGAAAATTTTCAGTTAATGTTGCCTCTCGAGGAGGTTAAGTGTCGGAGTGAGGACAACGGGGGATATATGCCTTTGATTTGCACCAGGCTTGAGGAAATCGGATTAATTATTTCCGGTCGTGCAGTTTCTTCGCGGAACCTGGTGGAGGGGAAATGCTGGGATTGTCTCTTTTGACGGGAAAACCAATTGACGCCGGGCCGGCTTTGTTTAATTGCGAACAGCCTTTTATTATAATATTTTAGCAGGTCTTCGGTACTTTACAAAGCGGCCTCTTCATAAAGCTCTGCCCTTAAGCCAACAGTGCTGTCATTATTCAAAACATTTCTGGCGCTCGTCCTTTGAAACACTCTCGAGAGCATTTTCCTGTTTGGCCCTCTGTTCGGTGTCATCGATGCAGAAAATCCTCCTCCATGATGCCCCTACTGCTGCGTAAGAAAAAGAAAACAAGTCAGGAGAAACACCAGATGCCTTACCATGAATTTTAGCCGTGCACCGAGCGCGCGCCGAAAAAGAAACGCAAGGAATAAACATTTGGAAATTAAAAAGCATCATTAGCATTCAACGATCTACCTCCGTAGAACATGGCGTACGTTTTTCGGTTAAATTGGGCTAGTCGTAATTCGTGACAGTCCCTCGAGGAAAATTGGAAGGAACAGCTTTACACGGTGGAATTCACGAGTGCTCCCGAAATCCGATGCGACGTAACAATCGGTGACGAAGTGCGAGCTGTAAATATTTACCCGGGACCAATAACGAGCATCGAAAGCCTCGATAATTGCATCGAGTGTATTCTTGATGAGAGAAAAAAAAAAGGGGACAAAAAAAGGAATAATACGTGTAACGGTGTACGAGCGACGCACGTTGGCGGTGGTCGTTGGCAGGCTGGAAACAAGAGGGGAAGGTGGAAAAATACACATTGTTGGGAATTCCCTCCCGGGAAAATGGCATGCGATTTCGCGCGACCTGTCGGCGCGGAAACGAATCTAGGGTGCCGTGGAAATTGTTTCGGAGAAACGCAGAATCGATTTTCCGAGTCTTAATCCGTAGGTCTAACGAGGAACTGGAGCGACGTAAAGTTCCCTTGCAAACATCTGTTCTTAACCTCGTAAACTGAAGTTGCAGCCATTTCTTTTGAAGGGACATTTGTTCGGCTCGAAATCGCATCAGCTGCGGTACGCGTGGTAACATTTACCCGCGTACTTCTCAGAGTTTTACTAGTTGCAGGGTGGCGTTATTTAATTAGAAATGTTATTTAACACATCTGAAATCAACAGTACGTTCTGCGTTGCCGTATTCATTACGCACTTCTCGTCATTAAATCCCGGGTAATTACTAATTCGAGCTCTAATTATCTAATGTGTTGACAATTTAACGAGTTTTCTATTCTTCTTGGTCCAGTTTGATATTGTATTTGCAGCGAAATTACGCGGATATGGGGTAGCCTCGACACCCTCGTCTCTTTAAATAATGTTTTTATTACCCGTCGCGTTAAAACGCATTTTCATTGAAAATATCCTGGGTGGGAGTAATTGACACGGTTCGTGAAACCGATTTGCTCGTGTCCGGCATTCCCTGGGGGGCATTAGCGCGATATTCTTTTTTTAATGAGATGTCGACTTTGTCATATTTTCTACCACATCTTGCGATCATTTGGGACGCACCGAAATTATGTAAATAATTATACATACGTAGATATATATATATTTGAGTGATGGCAACACTTTTTGAATACTTTTAATATTTATTTTCGCTGTCAGCGGTTAACGAGGTACGATTTAATTTGACGATGTTCCTTCGTTCGTATTCGAATTCATTGATTCGCACAGGGCCTGGCGGCACCCTTCTTCCACTTGTGGTCGGCATGCATATTGCTTGACTATTTTAATGTCGGTATGCCATATGGCGTCGATCGAGCGAAAAGGGTTGCCGGTCCTCGAGAGCTAAAGCTGCGAGCTCGCCGGAACTCTCGACACTTCTTCGGCTTTATTCCGAAGAGGACCGATTATCGTAGAGTCTGCAGTTTTGTCCCGGTCATACCCTAATAGCCCCCTTTCGATAAATAGCATAAAACATAAGAAGAATAATACCGACAGGGATTTGCGGAATAGAGGGGCAATGAGGAACATAGAGTCCGGGAATTCAAAGATAACTAATAAAAAGAAAAATAACAATTCGATAAGACAAATCGCACGACAGAAATTACCATAAATATTTAGGAAACACTGATAGCTACGGTAATTCACAAAAAGTGTAAAACTTAATTTTATTATTTTTATGATATAACTTTTGACTTATATAATGAAGCTGACACGTGGCGACTTCGTATCATCGAAGAGTCGAGTCCTCGGGGGATTCACTGGGCCCTAACTTTTTGTCGATAGACCCATCGTTGGGCATACATGTTAAAATATTTCCCAGGGAAGTCGTGTCAGTTATACTCCTTCTTCCTGCACAAAAACAGTCCCATGGGACGGAAAGGGCGCACAGCTCCGTTACGTCCAGAAGGTCTCCTCTCATCGTTTGATCGCAATTATGTCTAGAAAAAGGGCATTAAAAAAGCAAGGGAAATAATTTTCGCCGCGGGTCTAGATCGGGGCCTAGACGCTGACCTTGGTTATTTTCAGCTCGCGTGTAAACCCGCGAACAATCTAAATCTTTCGAAGGAAAGGTCCCCCTTGAATCGCAGTCGAGCCACTTATCGCCGCTCCGAGTCTCGGCGGCTCTCATTACCATAACTATACAACATTACAACCATTACTGTTATTTTCCGTCCTACCCCCTCATCAGTTAATATCTCGGTCCGATCGAAAGGCTCGGCGATAAACCCTCAAAGGCCAATGTACACATTGAACGTGCCCGATCGCAAGGAAGCGTGTAATCCCGCACCGGCCTCTTCATACACGGTAGACGTACAATCAGCTGGTTCCTAGTCCCGAATCGCCGAGCATGGCTCAAAGTAGAGACGTTCGGCCCGTGAATGACGAATAAATCGAGCGTAAAAAGGACCGTCTCTAATCCGTGGTAAAACATCCTCTTTAGGGTCCGGTCTAACGCCCTGCTGGGCGCCACGGATGATTTGGGGATCCCGCGTTTAAACCCTAGAAAAATAACACGGTTTAAGTTACTGGGCCAGAAAAGAGCGCGTTCTGAAGGGTAAAGAATAACCCAGGTGTTTACTTTGGTGGACTTTT